AGTGAAAAGCAGCCAACATCCAGAGAAGAGCTTTTGAGTGTCTTTCAAGAAGCCTGCAGAACTATTTCTGAAGTCTAGGTCAGTTGTAAGAAAGCATTCATTAGCGTTCCAGCTGTTCTGAAGAATAAAGGCGGTCACACCAAATGTGGACTTTCAAGCTTGTTAGAATTGTACAAAGTCTGTCTTTACCTTTACACTGCATTTCCATGTATGTTTGCATGTTTCAGTAAATCACTCCACCTACTTCTTTTTCCCAAGCAAAGTATAAACAACTGTGACTCAAGAGTTTTGGACACTGATTTATTTATGCCAACAAACTGCAGGAGGACTGAATTTCCACAGCTAGAAGATTATTATTAGATATTAAAAATGAGACTCTGTTTATCATTAAACACTCGGCCTATCCTGTCTGGTTATATGTGCTCTCTTTCATTCAAACGTAGAACGATCCAGAAACACAAAGAATCATAAAATCACAAAATGACTATTTATCATGACCTTTGCCAAGTTTGTTAAAATAATCCTGAGTGATCCTGGAATAAATCCTTACAAATAAATATTTAAAGTGTACATGACGTTAGACTGACCTGATCGCCATCGTAAAGCGTCTGTAGAGGACTCCTCCTCGACTTCTGTCTGCTGCTGCTTTCACCCACCGCCTCTGAGGCTGAGGAAAAAGCACATCGGTTATCAACTCCGACAGGTGTCTCACACAAAGCACAAAGTATGGAGCTTAATTATCACTAATAATGCTCTTGTGAATGTGTGTCATCACGCCCAAATGTGGTCCTGTGACCCTGACTGTAGTAGTTTGGCTGGTGTTCATATTTCTGTGGACACATTTTAAAGAAAATATGCACGATACATTTGCAAACTGTCAACATGAGGTGAGTTAGAAGGCGGACAGTGTCCATCCCATGATTACCAATCAGTCGCTGACTTCGCGCTTTTATTGAAGCTTAACATGCTGCAGCCTGAAGGGGCGTGAGCTTACTGCAGGGTTTCAGGGAGGAACAAAGGCCGAGGATAAAGAGGTGCAGCGCGATTATTTTATTTGATCATTCACTGAATTGCTGAATGCCAAAATTATAATTAGCCAAATATCCTCAAGCAAGATGCTGAACCCAAGCAGTACACAAGAATCAGCTCATTTACTATTTAACTACTACTGTTGGTGTTAACTATCATTATCATAAGTAATAATACAGGGTGGTGTATCATTAGACAGATAACACAGGTGAATAAAGTGCACTGTAGAACATTAACACAAACTGAGCACAAAAACGTTGCACTGAAACAAAGTAAACTTTCATGGTATCGCTGCTTTTATTTGCTCGAGTGCTTTAGAAACGGAACATAAGAGTTTTGGCCGGGCAGAACGTATCATTTTCCACGTTATGTCAGACTCAAGTTTGAAAGGAAGGATAAAAGGACCTTATTTATGTCCTTTGGCTTAGAGCTATTATTCTTCCAGATATTGGACAAGTGTAGAGTTTCACCACATGATCCTCAGATTTAATCTGGGTAAAGGTAGTCGATCTGTTCCTCCTAAAAGCTGCAGGCCTTTGTTGGAGGAAAAAAAAAGATGCAAAAGCGTGCGGCCGGGTTTGAAAAGGCAGTGGTTGCTTCACTCCAACTCAAACAGTTTAATCATAGTTAGAAAAATAAAAACGAGCTCTCAGAACAACATCTACCATCACGTATTCTGCACTCCAGCCTGCCTGCAGTGAAAGCAGAGATGAGCACCACGCTGCTGAACCATGACTCACTGACACAACAGGGAGCAGCAGGACTCAAAGACACTATGAACATCCCCACAGGAGCAC